TCCAGAATAGCCATATCTATAAAGATGAACAGTAGATTAATGGTTGTCTAGGTATGGATAGTAAAGGGTGGATGGGACTGATGGCTATTAGATACTGGATTTCCTCTTGGGGTGACAAAAAGTTCTAAAATTCGATTATGGTGATGATTACACAACTCTTGTGTGCATATGCTGAAAAACACTAAATTGGACATTTTAAATGGGTGAATTATGTGATATATAAATTTTATCTCAACAAAGTTATTTAAAACTATAATGCAGAAATACCAGAGATAGGGAATAGAGCTTAGAAAAATAGGGTCCATATAAAGAGGCACCAGAATATCTTGATGTCCTTGGTCTTTGAGAATTTCAGATCTGAGTATAGAGCACATTACCCTGACACTTATGTTTTAAGTTTCTATGTATCATTTCCAAAGCTTAAATTCTAGTCACGTGGGCTGAGAAGTTGTTTTTCTCTGACACGAGACAGCATGTGAACACCTGCTCTACCAATTATTATCTAGCTCTGTCACCTTCGACATGTTATTTAACTTTTCAGTGCCTGTTTTCTCATTTGGAAAATGAGAATACAATCTCAAATGAGGATTAGTCCATTGACATGACTGACACAAAATTATCACTTCAAAGTTGCTGTTATTAATTTTTTTTACTATTTGTTCTGATTCCAAATGTAGTTCATAACAGACTATTGTCTATTCATAAGATTGGAAGCAGATATGATACCTCTTAGTTATAAAACTCATGAGTACATTATCTCCTAAAAAGAGGCAGAGAGAGAGACCACATTTTATAATTCTAAACATTCACTTGTTTGTGCCTTTGGGGAGAAAAACTAAAGCTATTTTAAAAGAAATAACTTAGAGACAGTAAGAAGCTTCTTGGTAAACAAAATTCTCCCTTGAAACATTCAGATGATTTAGTTAAGAATGAACTGGAACAACATCAATTGCATTTCCTTGAAATCAGAAATAAATTCTGAAATAACTGGGAAGAGTCTCTGAAGCAGTGCTTGCATAAGTGTTTACAATCTGAAAAAGGGATAAGGTATGATAGAATAAATTTGATATGAAAATAAACATTGCACAAAGTGTACATGAAACATGCCTTTCACTTGCACAGTGTGTATATGAAACATGCCTCTCTGTGAAAAATAAAACAGTCCACAACTTCTGTATGTCATATATTGCACCTTTCCAGATATGGCTTTCGGTTTGCTATTCTAACAGTTGTCTACAGCTACAGAGAATTGATTTGTCTGCAGAACTGCAAAACTACTGCCTGAAAATCAAAGTGTAACAGTTATTTAAAGAATTATTTGACTAAGTATGAAGTACTTTATACTTGGAGTATGTAGTGTGTTGTGTGCTCACATACATGCATTATACCTCCATGGGTTCTAGTGTCCATATACTAAGTATCATATAAAGTTATTCTTCAATCAATTAATATTGCTTTAATTGTACATGTGGCAGAGTCTGGGCTTTAGATAGTAACATTTAGTTTATGTTTTGTTTTCTGAATACAATTTTTGTTTCTTTGAGGGATAAGCTCTTTCTTATTAATATATACAGGAGTCATAAAGGAATAATTGTTCTTTTATTTACAAGACTTCAGATTTGAAGTCAAATAACCAGCTTGGAGTCATCTCTATCTCACTTATTTGTTGTCTGAATAGCCCTGTGGAAATCATTTAACTTCTCTAATCTTCAGTTTCCTCACTGATGAACTAAATCCTATGGTAGCCATTTCACAGGAGAATGAAATGACAAATGCATGTGAAAGACAAAGCATGACCAAATGTTAGATAATTTTTTTTCATTTTCTATATTTGAGAGAATGTATGACTCACATTTCCCCTGGACTCAAAGGGGAGAAGAGGGTTTAAGGTATGTTTGTTGGTTGCTGACAGGATCTTAGGTCTTGGATAAAGTAGCATAAGCATATGTATTGATAGATGGATAAATTAGTAAGAGAGTAGGAGTAAGACCCAAGACAACCAATATTTGCCTGCTTTTCAAAGCACAGTAATCTAAATCTGAATCTGAAACTGCAGTCAGCATGTCTAGGAATCTACAGTACATGTTCTTTTTTCTATTATTGAAGGAGACAGCTGCCTAGTCAATGTAAATTTTATTGTAAAATTGTTTAATGGAATTCACAATTATGGGAGGACAAACACACTTGAGACACTAATGGAACTTCTGAATTTGATACGTGTAGACAAGAGACCTGTCACACTTAGCACCAGTTATTGTTTCACTGAGACAGGTGGGAAATAAAAGAATGTGTCTCCTATTGGAAGGGAACTCCCACTGATCCATTACCACTATCCCTGCTAAGCAAGAGTAAAATATAGGAGTGGAAGAACCATTTAAATTTTGGAACAGTAAGTAAATATTATATGTATATTTTTTCCCATTGTAGTCAACTTTTCTGTTGAATTTTATATCCAGGATTCTTTATTTATTCAAACTCTCCCTACAACTAATTATTGTGATACTACAATGTCCTTGTTTTCCTCATACCATTCTTTCCAATCATTCTTTGTCTACTCGATAGCTATTTAGTAATTCCTCAAGTCTCTGAGGATATTCTCTTAGGCTCACTCTTGGTCATCTGACACAATTTACAGCTTTCAGCCATTGCTATGGTTTCAAATATCACCTGTACATATAATTTCCAAAAATGTAAACTAAGTCCCAACTTATTCATTGAATGTCAGTTGCATATTTCTGAATGATTAATGAACATTTTTGCTTGAAAATGTCGATGTCATCAGTGAATCAGCATATTAGAATTAATTTTTCCTCTAATTGAATCCTTTATCCAGTCTTTTATCTATCTGCCTGTTTAATTATCATATCACCACTCTGGAATCCATACTTAATACTGCCATCAAATAAATCCTCTTCAAAACATTGTTTATCAAATCTCCAACCATTCTGTTGCTTAAAAAGTATCAATAGGTCCCCATTTCCTACTGGAAAAAAAAATCCTATTGGTTGTAAGTGTCTTTAAAAAGTGAGAACTTCTATACTCTATTACCTTTTTATCTACCACACCATCTAGTCTTGTGTGTTGTACATTGTAAATTACGATTGCTTATTGAATTGAATTAAACTCATTAGACTTATATTTGCAGTTTTTTTAGTCTGGTCATTACTAACACCCAAATCTACCTACAGGACTCTTCACAATCTGTTTCATGCTATCATTCTATTTACTCTCCCCTAAATGTGCTCAGCTCATTCTCCCTCCCCATTTTTAGACATGATTCTTGTTTTTTTGTCTGTCCAATTCTCAACACTCTTCAAAGTCAGCACAATTAGAAATGTCCTCTCTTAAATCATTCCCTAACTCTTCTAGTCCACATTGGTTTCTATTTTGTGTTTTATTGCCATTCCTTGCTATGTAATTATCATATTTCTATCATTCCCAGTTATCAAACCTACATTGATCTTTGACTCTTCCTTTTCCTTACTTATGACTACATTGTTACTTTAGAATTACTTATGTAATCTTTTCCTGTGTATTCATATTGTTTCCAGATATACGACAATACTAGGGGAAAGAACTATGTCATGTTTTCTCATACCATTCCTACATTTTAGTACTATCTGTGGAAAAAGCAGAAGCTCAAAAAAAATTGTTAAATGAAGGAATGAGTGTGGGTGGAAAGAAAATTTATTAAAAGTAGGTATTTACTGCATTTAATAGCTTTCACAGAAATAATCAAAGAAAACATTCTGCATTTTAAATATGGTGCTTTTCAGATATTTGGATACCATTTTTCTTTATTACCTGTAACTTAATTAGTCCATGAGATAAGAGAAAAAAGGCTAATGTATACATCTGTTTCATGCACCATGAGTGACTGACTATAAAAGTCATTAAACATTATACAATAGTTAATGAAGGAAGCTGGAGAACCCATGAAGAATTTTAAGACAAGAGTAGAGACCTATTTGAAATCATTTTCGTAGAGTTTTCCCTAAGGCTGGTAGAATCAATATGATATTTCCTCCCATTCTATGATTTACGAAGCAAGAAAAGAGCTATTTGGAGATGCAAGCTCTTAACTACCTTGCTTTTGACTCTGTTGTAATTCTATCATTCATAAGTGTAATTAGCTCAGCACTAGATGAAAAGGATTTTGTTTTGCAAAACACTCTCATTTTCCTGGCATCAAGAGGTTGAATATGTTTCACTGGAACTTAATATCTACCTCATCCATTTTTCTTCCCAGACTTTTTAATATTTACCTTCCATTTACTCTATCACTGGCCTCAGTTGTTTTCTTTTTCAGAAAACATTTGATATTTAAATGATTCTAATGGGATTTCTTATCTCCTCAAATAAAACAAATTCACTTATACTTACAAAGAATCTCACCAAAAAGATTTATCTAATGGGAAATAAAAGGTTATAGTAAGAAGTAGAAATGTCAACATGAAGGAAATTATTTTGCTCTTAATGAAATATATTAACATTTATTGAAATGACACTGTTAAGAGAGATGGTTCACACTTACTTTATAGATTTTATGTATGATTTTATATGCAGCTATATTGGTTCACAGTTGGGGTGTGTGTGTGTGCATGTATGTGTGTTAATGAAGAAACTACAGTTTAACTTGCAACATGACTAAAAGGGAGAAACATGTCATGAGGTAGAGTAACTTGCTTGAGGTGAATATAGCAAGTGGTGAAAACTGAGCTGCCTGACTCTAAAACTTATGTTCTTTATCACTGTTATAAAGCCTCTGTGTATCTAGTCATATTTATATTAATTGACATTTGATTACACTGTTACAAAATAGACTAGATTGACTATCAAAAGAGCATTTATGTACCTTAATTTGATTCCCCAAAGAAACATGTGTTCAATAGTTAAAAAATAAACAGTTTCTAGAATCTAAAAATCCAGCATTTGAAAACAGTTGAGAACAAGAATCTAGAGGCAGGTTTATTTTCACACGTGGCCAAGATGTGACTTACCTCCAGGTGACCAGCTATTGTAGCAATATGCAAGGCAGTGAGGCCACCATAGCCAACCTGCTGTATGTCAGCTCCACTGTGAAGCAGGGATGTGATCAATTCTGCACTATCCTGTAAGGAAGCACATTTTTAGTGTTACTTTTCTACTAACAACAGGTTTGAACACTATTCAACAGGATTTATCGATTCCCTGTTAGCCAGTTTAGATGCTCAAAGAAAACAGAAGTGTGATTTCTGGCACAGGAGTACATGAGATTGCAGAGAGAGTTCTCTGACGGTTGAAATATAGGAATGAATGACACAGCCATTCAGTTACAATCAGTCCTCCACCACTTGACCATGAAAGACAGAAAGGACATTTACTTATAGTGAGGCTTTTCCAAACTCAGCTCAATCTTACATGTAGGTCACTCCAATAAATGTGCTTTCTCCAGCAACTACAGTATTAAATTGACTGCAGTGGGCTATTTCATGGTAGTTCAGTAATTGCTTCTTCTCTAATACATATGTGTCATGGATCCTATACATAATTAATCAGTAATTTCTTTCTTAACTTGAATCATCTTAACAGTGAAAATATTTGAAGTCTTATTTAAATGCTTAAGTTAGAATAATTAATGCAAAGACCAAAGTGATCCTTACTTTCTTTATACTATTATACATAGTATTGTTTTCACTGTCTTTGAGAGATGTGGAACTATTTTAAAACAGCAATAACATTCTTTTATTTTTTTATTATATAATTAATCTTTCATATGTATTAACTTATTTAAATCTGGCACATGGTAGGACTTTAAAAATAGTTGATTAATAAATTAAAATTTTTAAATTGAATATTGCTCTAAACAACCCTATGAAAAATTACTATTATAAACTTGATTTTGTAAGTCAGAACACTCAAATAAGTAATGTAGAGGGCAACATAAACACAAAACCTCAGACTTGGAAGGGAACAAAAAGAAAGATCTTGTTTAACCTTCTTCTTCAAAATAAAAATTCAAACCCCACAACCCCCATAGTACTTGGCCCACCAACATCTCAAACACACCCAGTAGTAAGAAAGTCAAGTCTTCACCTGATAGGCTATTGCATTTGTGTGTATACATATAATTTCAAATACTGTTGATGAAGAAAACCTCCAGATAAAAAACAAAGTTTGGTTTCCTAATGCTATCACACATAAGTAAAGGTCTCAGGGAAATAATAAAAAAGTGGAAAAAAAAACTTCGGGAAAAAACTTCAAATAGCATAATGTTATAGTTTCTAAATCTTCCACTGTGCATACCTGTTGTACCAAGAAAGTTAAAGATTTTGTCTTCCTTTACTGTTCCATTTTCCCATTCTATTCAGCCTATAGACTTATGTTTTCTCCATTAAAAAACAAGAACAAAAACAAAAAGCACCCATTTTTCCCCTGAAGCTAATTTTAGCTGTCTTTGCCTTCATTTTCCAAGCTTCTGGAAAATGGTATTGACATGCACTGATGACAGCTCTGCTTTCATTTCTTTAGTATCTGTTACTACATATACCCCAATTTTGCATAAATCCTAACTGAGCTAATCATACTTCTTACTTTATCTCATATTGCCCCTTCTCACTAAGGTATATTTATTCTCCTTTTCCTTACTTTGTATTATCAAAAGAAATCACCAGACTGTTTCTACCATCTGAGATATAAGACCTCACACTGTCCTGAAGTCATCTCAGTTTCATAAGGTAAATTTCTATTTACCAACTCCAGTGTCAGTCATCTTCCTCCTTATAGTCAGATCATCTCTTTCTTCTTGACATCTTTATCTCTTGTTTTTCTAAAACCATATATTCATGATTTCTTTCTCTTTTGTCTCTTCTTTGTTTCTGTCTATCTTCAAAAAGTGAATGATATGGCCATTTCTCATTCTAAATGCTACCTTTGTCAATTCTTATACAATCTGATAACTTATCTTGGATCCTGGCTTCTAAGTCCAAATTCCATGTATCCTGCCTACCAATAGCATCCCAGATTAAAAATTACTCTTGTAAATACCATTTATAATTTCCCAAGTATGATCTGTCATCTCTTAGCATTTCTTATTTATATTAGTGGCACTTGCCTATTCCAAATGACCTTGAATCCCTTTAACTCTATCAGTTTCGGAATTCTGCTGGTTTTAACATATTAATACTTCATACATTTCTCTTTATTTCTAACATCACCTCTATTTTACACAGTCTTCTAACTGGTCTCCTTCACTAAACTTTTCTTATTGCAGTTCATCCTCCACACTGCTGCCAGATAAATTTTCTTAAACCAGTTTTGATCACATCATTCTCCTTTCCAATAAACTTGCCATATACTCAACAAATATTTATTGAGCATATATTGTGAAACATTGTTCTGATCAAGAGGGACACGGCAGAAAGACAGTTAAATCCTTGACTTCATGGAGATTCTATTTTTACTATGTATTATGTGAGAGGAGAGAGAGAAAATAAATAAAAATATTTTGTAAGTATCACAAAGTAAAAAAGGCTATGAGATAAAACAGGTAAATGATAAAGAGTCTACTTTAAGTAGTCAGGAAAAGCATCTCTGAGGAGGTTACCTTTGAAATAAAAAGAAAAGGGTAAATTTTAAAAAGGAGAGATCCAAGCCTTAATTTCAAAGATGAGCATTCAAGGACAGGCAGTAGCTAGTGCAAAAGTAAGATGGAAATAAGCTAGTGTGTTTGAAGGCCAGTACTGAGTAGACGGTTAAAAAAAAAAGGGAGGGAAAATAACGTTCAAGATAAGGTCAAAGACATCTGATTCTGTAGAGCCTTGAAGATCATGGTATCAGGGGTTAAGAGTCTTCCCAAGTGCAGTAGATAGTAGGGGGATAACATGATGATACAGAGGCAGGGAAGAATCAGGAAGAAGTAGTGATTGAGGTAGAAATAAAGTGTTCTGTTTTTCACATGTTAAGTTTGAGAAACTTATAAAGCAGGGTTAAGATAGTGGGAACTAGAATTAGCCTCCCTATTTAAAATCCCACTCTGGTAATACTATGTGAAATGGGGCAAGTGATAAAAAAGGGGACAAGGGGAACCCTCCTACACTGCAGGTGGAATCTAAGTTAGTTCAACTATTATGGAAAGCACTATGGAGGTTACCCAAAAAACTAAAAATAGAAATACCATTTGACCCGGGAATTCTACTCCTAGGAATTTACCCAAAGAAAGCAAGTTCTCAGATTCAAAAACACATATGTTCCCCTGTGTTTATTGCAGCACTATTTACAATAGCCAAGATGTGGAAGCAACCTAAGTGTCCATCAGTAGATGAATGGCTAAAGAAGATGTGGTACATATACACAATGGAATATTATTCAGCCATAAGAAAGAAACAAATCCTACCATTTGCAACAACATGGATGGAGCTAGAGGGTATTATGCTCAGTGAAATAAGTCAGGTGGATAAAGACAAGTACTGAATGATTTCCCTCATTTGTGGAGTGTAACAATGAAGCAAAAACTGAAGTGACAAAAGAGCAACAGATTCCCAGACTTCCATAAGGGACTAGCAGTTACCAAAGGGGAGGGAGAGATGTGAGAGGATGGGTGGGGAGGAAGGAAGAAGGGGGTTGAGGGGTATTATGACTAGTACACACGGTTTGTGGTGGGGTCACAGACAGTGTAGCACAGAGAAGACAAGTAGTGACTCTGTGGCATCTTACTACACTGATGAACAGTGACTACAGTGGGGTATGGAGGGGTGCTTGATAATATGGGTGAATGTAATAACCACAATGCTTTTCATGTGATACCTTTATAACAGTGTATATCAATGATACCTTAATAAAAATTTTTAAAAAGGGGGACAATGACTGTATCTGCCTGATGTAATATACATACAAATTGTATGTCCACAACTGATGTGATAATATGTATAAAGCACTTAAAAGGTACCTAGCAAAGCAATACTCAATAAACTCATTACCACTGGACATAGAAGTGTGGGCCTCAGCATAGCTCTCAGTGAAAACTTCCAAATAAGTGATTTGACTCAATCATCTGGCTCTTCTTTCTCCTTTTCCTTTAACTCTTCCCCACAATTTCACTTCCTCTGCTTCACTAGCTACCCATTGAAGTAATCAAAGTAACCAGAGAAAAACTCTAAACCAGTACTGAAAATTAGGAAATGGGTACCAGTTTTGCCTCCATCAGAAAAAACAGTTCACCTGAGTTAACCTTAACCTGACAAATGACCTTTAATTTTGAATGGTGAGGGTTAAAATATGAATAGTCTCTTAGATAAATGGGAAAGACATCACCTTAAAACATTTTTATGTGCAGATGGGTAGGCATTTAAATGCACAGAAATGGAGAAAACCTTTCTAAGCATAAAAGCTTTTTAAGCATGTTTAAAAAGAGAGAGGAAATATGATAAATTTGATCAAATAAAAGTATTTAAAAACAATATTATAAGATAAATGATAAATTTGAAAAATATTCATAATATATAAAACTGATAAGTTGGTTGTATATTTAGTATATGAAGAACTCATACCAATTCAACAAGAATTTATAAATGAATGTGTACCTTATGACAAGCACTGTACTAGGGTAAATTAAAACAAGTTGTATGTAAATCATGGAGCATATAAAACATTTACCTGTCAGGCAGATTGTAGTAGACACATTTTCATCCTTTATTCAACTGTCTTTGTATTTTCTCTTATTCAGCCAAAATTTGTGGAATGTGAGAGAAAGTATATAAAGTATGATTCCTTCAGAATAGTCAAATGGCAAGATCAAAAGTTAGAATGACTAAATTATTATTTCAAATCTTCATTGGATTTCTCAAGTTGAACTCTGATTGATCTAAGTATTTTTTTTTACTAAATACTATGAAGACAGGACTTTTATCTTACAAGCTATGCTAAAGAGAATGTAATAAAACAATCATGCTTCTTACAAATTGGTTACTATGGGCTAAGTCCCTTGCAAAATGTTTTACCAACATCATCTCTTTCAAGCTTCACAACTTACCTATGAAAAAATTATTACTATCCCTATTATATAGCTAATGACTCTCAGGCTCAAAGAATTAAAAGTACTTGTAGAACCTTAAATAGTTTGTAAGTGTTGGAA